AGCTTCTTTTCGGTTAATATGTTTTCGCGATCCATAAAGAGCCCGGTTGGAAGTCAAAGACAATTAATAACCTTCCGCAGGATCATTTATCGCGACAGTTTAGCCCCACGTAGCCGACTCTCTCTCTCTCTCTCTCTCTCTCTCTCTCTCTCGTAGCTATTTCTCTCTCTTTCGCTCCTCACTGTTCGTGAAGAAGAAGAAGAAGTTCGCCGACGAACCGACCAGAGCATTGTTCGTCTCCTCGGCCCGTGACCGATCCAATTTTTAACACCGTCTAGATAGATAGACCTTCGTTGCTCCTCGAACGATTTTCCTCAGCCACTCGAAAGTTAATCGACGGAGACCAACCCTTTGCCGCGTGTGAGAATCCTCTTCCGGGACACCATGTGCGGCATTCGTTATGCCGAGAAACGAAGAAAGGAAGAGGGGAGGACTTCGAATGGTGCATTCATCGATGGAAATATTAGATCAGGCGGTCTTTCAGGTTCAAAAGGACAAGAACAGAAGATATTCGTATATCTTGGAATTATTTACCACTTGGAATTTTATTGCCCCGGAGAAAAATGTTGTATTATTCAAATGAGGGGGAAGATTACTTACTAATCTCAATCTTCCGCGAGGTAAAATAAAAATCAGCAGATTCAGCATAATTGCAAATATCTGCTAAATGTGAGATATATATCGTGACACGTGAAATTCTGTTCCTCGCCTAAGGAGACAGTTGCTGATGTCTCGCTAAGAAAAAGAGCAAAGTTGGAACGAGAGCCCGAGAGAGGAAAAGAGAGAACATGGAACACGAGAACTGACTCGATAACTAGCGCATACATTAGATCACGCCACGGCAAAACAAAATCATTATTAATTAATAAATCGTTCTTCGTTTACGCCCGTGTACGAGACAAATATTTACAAAATGGATTTTCAACGACTGTTGGAAAATACGTGTACAAATGTACGCGTTGTTTCAATCGTCTGTTACGTATTTTTCTATCGTTGTCTCACTTTCCGGATTGCAATTGAGACGATTCGATGAAATCCGCTCGAGAGGTCTGTGCCGATGCAATTGTCCGCTTTGCGTACCGGAGAAAAACCGTCGTAAAACTTTTAATATAAATACGTGCGCCATCGTTGATTTCGAGCGCGGATTTTATGAGCGAGTTTTTCTCGCCGCCGGAACGGCCCATGGGACCGCGTCGCGAGTCCCTACAATTTAATCTCCCTTTATTCGACGATTAAGTGCGCCATGGTTGATTTACGGTATCGTAAAACGCGCGACGCGAAACAGCCTCGAGCGTCTCGCCTTTGAAACTGTCTCTCGGCCACTCGTGCGTGCGTCGCTCGTTTACACAAAGCAAATTGAAAATTACAGTCGTGCACACTACCAAAGTTGTCAAAATGGCAAGCCCCCAGCTCTTTCAACGATGTCGCAATTATATCGAATTACATCTGTAAAAATTGGGATAGTAGAAAATGGCAATTGAAGGCTGAAAATCGGGCTGAACATTTGGTGATCACACACGCTTTTTAAGTCACGAGGGTCGTAACACGTAAGAAAGTTGATGCCTTTTCGTTTTCAATACGTAACAATTTTAGGAGAAACAGCAGTGGACTTCAGGCGAATCGTTGCGAGTCAATAATTCTGGCGTTGACCGTGACACGTGTCCACTTATACTGCGATATAAATCGTTAAATTTCCTTTTCGCGTAAGAATGGCCAACTCTTTTCTTCCAAGACGTCCGAGACAAGGAAAGACGAAGGAGAGAAAGAAAGAGAGAGAGAAAAAGGTTGAAACACAATCTCGGTTTACTTTCTAAGCAATTGACTGGCTGCGTCGAACACAGGCGATAAAAGCGAGTATTAGCAACGTTTGCACGTCCGTAGAATGCAAATGGGAGGAAGCCACGAAGAGTGTGGTTCCCTGTAATTCGCGAATTATCGCTGATCGGATGGAGTGCATCGGTTCAGATTAGAAAAGTAACGGGTCGGTCGAATCGAGCCACTCTCTGTACCGTTAAACGCATGTTCCTTGGGGGACGTAAATGTCGAGATAAACACTCGAACTGGAAAACCTGCCATCTCCCTTACTCCCATTTTCTTCAACACCTTTCGTTCAACAGATTCGTGAAACAAAGAATTTAACGAACGGAACGTCGAAGACAGACGTGACCGGCTCCGAGGAATTCAGATCCGAAAGGATCGCTGGACATCTGCGTTCCCCGCCAGAGGATATACAGGGCAAAAAAGAAACGTATATAATACGCGTATTCGTGCGAAGTTTTACGATTTTCAACTGCAGAAGGGGTGAAGGAATGGCGAAAAGGCGTTAAGTCAGATCACGACCCCAGTCGACGAGGGATGACATGCAAATGAGTTCGACGATCCTTAGGTGGCTTGCTTGAGATCGTGACCGAGGGAGCCGAACCGTTAATTGTCCTTAAGAAAGAGAAAAAGAAAAAAAAAAGCACGGGATATCCAATCATAGGAATTACGGTTGCTTGGCCCTGGTCAATGAAAGCTTAAAACTATTATTTATATTCACGCTTTCTCCCGATGAGACGGTCGTTTTCAAAGTTCAAACCGGCAAAATAAGAAGCGTACCGCGAGCAACGTGCAATTCTTCTTCTTTCTTTTTTTTTTTTTGTGAACTATTTTCTTCAAAAAAAAAAAAAAAAAAAAAAAAACTAGCTCCAAAGTCGCGTAATCCGCGAAACCGTGCGCCGATACGGAGCGAATTACTTCTTTCTACGAATTACGAATTACCGTTCGCTCTTTGAGACACGGATAAAGAAAACGCTTGAGCCACGTGAAAAGAGGCGACGCGCGATTTATTTTCAAAGGCGGCCGAGAGCCTCGCCCGATGTACAAGTGGGTAATAACCGTATGAAAGGGCAACAATGGTGGCTGACACACCGCAACCAGGCTAAAAAAAAAAAAAGTGAGAGGGCAAAAGGCAGACGATGGAGGGGGGCAATAAATATATTTTGACATGGGAGTACCTGGTCCGGGCACCTATGCATAGTAATTGTAACGCTCTGCTCGTCTCTTGCCGATCTCTTTTCCTCTCTTTCTCTTCGTTCGTCTCTTTGTCGTTGCACACGTGTGCGTGTGCTCACTTCCGCCGCGACTCTTGCTCGCTTTTATTCCACGACAAAAGTGTCAGCCTTTGTGCGACTCGAATTACGCCACTGTCTACCAGTAGGCAAATATTATAGCAACAGGCATCTACGAGGGGTGACGATAATGTTTTCATTTGCGACCAACCCCAGCCGACCGCACCGTTTCGTCTGCTTGGCGAGGGTTTTGAGAGCGCGAAAAAAGGGACACTCGACGAGAGGATGCAAAGGGAATGTGTAGAAAGTTTGCGGTTGACGATCTCGTTGTGCGGACAACGCAGCAAGATGGAACGCTGAGATGCTCTGATATTTCATCCCCTTTGCGAACGAGAAACTTACGTAATGCTCTCTGTAATGATAAGCAAGAAAGAGTTGTGCAAAAAGGACGATTGTAATCACTACAATATCGGACATCGTCGATAAATTTCTTGAAAAGAGCAAACAAATGTTATTCAAAGTTAGATGTTACTGAGAAAGAAAAATATACACTGACAATCTCTAATTAGAGTTGTAAAATTATGGAAATGGAATCTGCGCTTCACAATGACCTAAGATTCCTAAATTGACTGATCTTCTACCATGCGTCATTTTATAATTAAAAGAACTATATTTAGATGAACTGCGAATGAATCATTGTAGATTAAAAGCTCGAAGCAGAAAAGAAGCGTTGTAGCGCCGCGGTCTCACGGTGCCGCAATTATATTCCAATCAAAATTTACCAGTCGAAGGGGTATTTTTAATGGCCCGCGCGTACTTAGGCGGCTATTAGGTTGCATTATCAATTTCACGCCACGGTATAATCGCGAGCAACGCAGCCACTTTGGATGTAGACTTTAATTTACGAGGGATAAATGGAGCGGTGAATGGACTGTAAGATTGACGAAACACCGGTGATTATTAACTGAACGCGTGATTTATTTTCTAGATTTTATAACTATCATTAGTCCGGAACTTTTTTTTTCGGGGACTTTTTGAAATCACTGGCACGCACGTGTTCCACTGGCAAGGATTCGCCAACATCAGAGTTGGCCTAGACCTGCAGCTTCAACTGACCGAGTGGTAGAACCGAGGACAACAATGACCAATATGCAGTACAACAGAGACCAACCAACCGTTCATGACAAGCTTAGGCAAAGCCCACGGCGAGCAATTCTACTTTTGTCCGTTTTCAGTATCTTTCCGTTTTACAGTACTTTACACACGTGACACGCGCGATCGCATTAAACGATGTAACAATAGGGCTAACTAAACTGGTCAAAATGACCATTTGAATATTTTTATTAGATATCCTTGGGGATTTGAATGACTCTTTGTATAATATAAAAAGAAAATTACTAAACTATTTATAAATATTATAAAGTGTATCCTATTTATAAGTATTCTAAATTTATACCTCACACGCACAGTCATATCAATCATATTAAAACAAACCCTACAAAGAAAAAATTAATACCCAAACTTTTCAATTTAAATGCAGATTACAGGGCTACAGAGAAATCCCAGGGACTGCACCATTAAAACAACCAGCCAATAAAAAGGTATTCTAAATTTTATGCTTTAGTCGTCAGTAATTAAGCTTTAGTCGTTCTAGTATCAAAGTGACGACCTAAAATCTCTAAAATCTCGTTAGGAAACCGTTTGCATCTCAAAGAAATATCGCATTGAGAATTTCTAAAGTCCCAAATCTAACCTACCCTAACTTCACTTGAAGAAGAAGATCGTAGGCGTTCGTACAAAAAGAACAGTATGTTTCTACGATCATGAGTCACCGACGTAAATAGAGAGTAGCATCCACGTGTAGGAGATTTGAACACGGGGTAGTCGCGTCGGAGACATGAACACGCGCACAGGAAGCGCGACCGGGTAAGTAAAATCAATTGCACTCACCTTCCAATTCACAATAACGAGTTCACCGCAACACAGGCCAAAACCTCGGATGTTCGAGGTTCGATTCTGTCCTCCTTTGCACGTTACACACTATAACCTTTCTTTCATCGACAAGTTTCTCGCAAGATCGTTGGATCTTGAATCACACACACTGCCCGGGGAAGTTACTTCTCGTAGATCAGCCACGGTCAGTCACGTGGTGTATACACAACACACTGTTCGCACCCAATGTTCCTCGATAGTGGTTTCCACGTCGCTGGTGCGGTGTCACGCGATCGGTATCATCCTCTTGAAAGGATACGATTCTTTCTGTATCATTCCACTTGACTGTTCCGAAATACACTGCTCTGAATGATCCACGCGAGTCTGAGCGTGGCTTCCGATTCTCTGTTCTGCTCTCCACTTCTCCACTTCTGCACTTCTCTCTCTCTCTCTCTCTCTCTCTCTCTCTCTCTCTCTCTCTCTCCCTCTCCCTCCGTCTCCCTCACCCCTTCCTTTCTTCCCTTGCCGTTTCCGATCCAAATCTTTCTTCTTCCTCTCTCTCTCTCTCTCTCTCTCTCTCTCTCTCTCTGCCTCTCTGTATGTACGATTGTTGTTGTCTGTCTCTCTCGAACATCCACGAGTCACGATACAGCCACGTCGATGGACGGGAGAGGACTGGCACTTGGCGGCCGCTGCGACCTGTTCAACTGCATCGAACGCGCTGACGGGAACCGATTTTCCACCGTTGGCAGAGGCCACGTATGCCTGCCTATCTGGTACACGCCTGTCTTCAGGCCCGCCAATAGGCCCCGACTGGGCCCCGTCTCTCAACCAATCCTGAACTGTTAGATACTTGGAGACTGACTATCCCAGTGCCACCCATCTGGTCCCCACTTCGTTCGAGCGGACTCACGCTCCTCCACTCTCAGCTCGTCGAGGCACGACCGTTCCTCGTGTTCCGTACCGGTGATGCCCCCGCAGAGAACCGATCGCCGCGCCGAGTTGGTTCTACCGAGCCAACTCCGGAGAAGAAGAAACTACCTGACGGAGATTCGTTCCCCTTCGAGGCCGCGTTCGCGGTATCTCTCTCATTAGATAACTGTAGAAGAGGATTCATCTAATTCGTTGGACTGTATATTAAAATTGAATCGAAATATTACAATCGGTGAATGCGTGATGCTTTATCAAGGTCAACTCTATCCAACTTCATTCAAGTTGTCCCAAAAGTTTATGAGCATAAATCATTGTTCGAGTTGCAGGTCACGATGGATCTTGACAATTACAGACGTTTGACGTCTATCGAGACGCGGACGTAAAGAAGAGATCGAAATCATTTCTGGGTTTTGAGAGTAAAACGCGCTGAAGAAAGATTTCATCGTGATGTAATATCCTCGCCTCGTGTTCGTGCCGAACGACGAGAAAATCTACCATCGGGCCAAGTGAAGCGTCGTTTCTGTCGTGATTTTTACCTCCTGGTTCGTAAACATCCGCGATACGTGATCACAATGAACGATCCTTATCGCCGAGCGTAATATCCTTTCTAAAGTTTCAGCCGTGAACCGTCCCTAAACCTATCTCCTCTCGAGAGATCTAAAGTTTCGCTCCAATAGCGCAGCGGACCGCTCGCTCGCTCGCTCGCCTCGCGCGCGCGCCTGTTGCGTCTGTGCGCGGGCACCGAGCGCGCGAGAGACTCACCCATATAATTTAGTCTCTAGCCTGGCAAGACGTAAGCGGCCGTAATCATAGCTATTACCCGCTCGCTGCTTCAATTAACGTATAGATCCGATAAACACGGCGAGAGCGGCGAGAGCGTTTGCCGCGCGGACGGAGACGCGGAATCGTTGATCTTGTCGCTTCCACCGGTGGCTGGGAACGAATCGACCTTGCGAAATCAAAGCCGGGGCAATTAGACGCAGCGCCTAATCGCAATCGTTGGAAAAAGGATGGAAATGGAATCGAGAGTGCACCATTGCTGTACTCTTCGAGGATTCAAAGCGTAATTTCATCATTTGCATTCCTTCTTTTTTTCTTCTTTCCATGATTAACGTCGTGTGAAATTTGACATTTTCGAGCCTCGAGCAGTTGCAATTTCACAGATTTGCTCGCGAAGCTCGCAAAGAGCCGCAAAGAATCGCAAAAGTTTTGCGAATTCGAAGCTTCGTTCTGACCTATTGCGCTGGAATGACGTGCCACGCACGTCGAGAACATATGGCCCAAAATTGCAATAGTTTCTCAGTTTTAAGCAGAGACTGAAAATCGAAATATTTTGAGGTTTATTATACTGGTATTTGGTCTCATATTATCATAATATAAACGTTATTTGGGAAATCGGTTTTAATACCGGTATAACACGGTCATACGTTTATTTTCATACGTATTTTATCAGTATTTCATGTCCACAACGATAAAAATACCGAAATATATACCGGTACGGTATTTTACTGACGAAAACACATTTTTCATTTTCTACGTACAGTGACTCTTATTAATATTCGAACATCATGCTATTCAAAATATTGTTGTGGATTTCGATTGTTTATAATAGCCACCAAATTTGGATTAATTTTTTAATAATACAATAGAACATTCATTATAGTTTTATAGTAACATAAATTTTATTTATTTATTGCACATACCTTTCTTAATATCAAATAAATACAAATAACATAAATATAATATAAAACAATATAACATAAATATACTATAAAACAATAAACTAAACCATGTCGAAATGTAGCGTGGCAAAAATATTCGGACATTTGAAGAGCTACAATATTTATAATCTAAAAATTGTTAACATAAACAATAATTAATATTTTGTTAGGTAGCCTTTAACATCTGCCAGCTGCTAATGTAAATAAAATTTTAAAAAACTAATAAAAAGGCTAATAAAAAATAAACAAAGTGTACGTGTATAAGCGTCATCAAATTTACTATCGGCAGCTTTATGGAAACATTTAATCATTATCTCCTTTCCCTTTTCTAATATATTTATAATATATTTATAATATATTTATTAATATATTTATATTTTACCGGCATTATACCGGTATTATACCGAAATACATTTACCGACCCAATATCGTTTTGATAGCATCATACCGGTATTCGCACCATTTCGGTTTCATCAAACGTAATCGAATAGTAACCTAAAAATACCGGTATTTTATCGATATCCGTGATACCGATTCGGTCTCTGGTTTTAAGTATATCTAAGTATAACCCAGGCAAAACAAATAATAAATTTACTACCGCTTAGTAATTTCTATCCAGTGATATGCCGATGAATTCAAAAAGAAGACGAATTATTGTACACGGCTTGGTCACTCGTTATGGTCCGCGAACCAGAATGCCGAGCGCGAGAGAGGTAGGCTCGTTCCTCGCGAGCGAGTCGCTGTTATCGGCGTCCGAATTTTTCGAAAGAGGCAACGATGGAACCTGTAGGAATTAGACGGAAACTGGTCGACCCAATAAAACGTCGAAAGGCGTTCAAAGGGAAGAGTAGGAGGGCAGGATGGACAGGGCTGGACGCCGCCATAAATTAAAGAAGATGTCCACCCGTAGAAATTAAACCATAGAAACTGGTTTCGAACCTAAAATGATCTCCCCTTTCTGTTCTCGAGTCTCCTTCTTCTTTCTCTCTCGAGCCTGTCTTCGCTTCGTCCTTGTTTCTCTGTTGCTCCCTTCGACCCCAGAGGCCGCCGCTTCTTTTCGTGGTCGTGTCTCTTCTCACGAAACCGAAGCCTCTCTCGCTTCCTCGTTTAACGACCGATTTCATTTTATCGAGATAATGCTCGAGGAAAGAAAGGCGACGAAGCAACGGCCACGAATCTGGGAAAGTCCGCTACGTATCGACCCGGTCTTCTTTCTTTACGAGCCTGATTAGTCGATGATGTCGATGTTGGATCCAATATAGTATCGAGTATACGATACCGTGGATTTGGAACGCGTCTCCCAATGATGCGAGGTGATTGCGTCACGAGACCACATCTGACGAGCACCGTCCTTTCGTCATCGATCGAAAGTCGTGTTTCAGCTTCGTCGAATTTTAATTACCTACCACGCGTGATTAAGTTAAGTGGAGGAGAGTATTGAAATCGCGTCACGTTAGCTTGTAATTGAATAAAGATTAGATCTCTCTCTCTCTCTCTCTCTCTCTCTCTCTCTCTCTCTCTCTCTCTCTCTCTCTCTCTCTCGGGTGTTCCAAAGTGGAAAACATTCGAGCTATCGAGTTGGATGCGTGGCAAGCATATATTAACCTGTTAATCGAGTCACTCTTCAATTAAGAACTTCTACGATTGCAAAATTCAAAGGTGATAACTCCTCGGAGTCGTTCGGTTACCCGACAAACGAACGATCCGCGTTGTTGGCAATTTAAATAATTTTCTCGTGAATAGACCTCGATGTACCTTACAGTTTTATTTTGAAAATAAAGGCGCTACTTTTCGAACAAATTATACTCTGTACAAATTATACAGAGAAATGTAGAAATTTTTCTTCACGCTGACGAGGAATCCCAAAATCGTTGCCCATTGCTTTTTCGATGTATATTTCGATGGTTATAGCTAATTGCTCATACTATATACGGCCAAAACGTTGGCAGACGTTACGCTGCACAGATTTTATAGAATGGTGTTGGCTCGTCGTCATAAATAATTCGTTCGACCGCTGGCAGCGAACAGAGAGACGACGTGAAAGAGCTCCACGATATGTCCGACGGTGTGTAGCAAACACGAGAGGCGCGGCGTACTACGACAGATTCGTGATCAATTGGCCGAAAATAATCCGGATGTATTTTACACGTTCGTCCGTCGCTCTCCGCTCGCTTCCGTTTTGTTCGCCGTTGTCTCGTCCCTGTGTGCCTGCTCGTTCATGCAGAAGCCCTCCTCGAGAAGGCAGATGGGGCTAATATGAACTCGATTCTCTGTCCTCCAAGATATGAACTCATTCTTTCCAGAAGGTGTCGTCTGCTCATCGGCACGGAAGCAACCCAGATTTATCGTCCTCTCTCGACACGAAGAGGACGGTCACCTCCTGTCGGGTGAAACGGTACGTCGCGATGCTTCCGCCGTGATCTTTCTGTGAAACGAGGAACTCCTTTGACACTCTGTCACGACATCGACTACCGTAGTCATTAATCGACTTTTTTTTATTATTCCCAGTGGAAGTAAAAATTACTTTCTTCGATTCGTTTAGAATGAAATAAATGTACCTCCATAAGAGTTAACGTTTGTTAAAAGGTACTAAGTGCTTTTTAACTCATAAATCAGTAATAAAATAGCTTTCAATCTCGGCGTAGAACACACTTTTACTTGGCAGTAAAATTTTCTAACATTTTTAGTAAAAGTTACCTTCCTGTGAAATATACGGGAATTATTGTCTCTCTCTCTCTCTCTGTCTCTCTCAAATGTCAGCCTAGTCAAATTTATCCTTTGTAAAAAAAGGAAAGAAACTAATACTTTTCAATTCACAGTTTACGATCAACGATTCACTCAAATATATTCCAAATTAAGTCAAAGACGCGGGTAAAGGCGTAGAGCAACGCCTCCGTAACAAATATCGTTCGCGCGTGTCGTTAAAGACATTCGGGGTTTCACGGGATCTCGGATCGCGGCGCGATGAATCTCGGCGGCGGCACGACCGAGCCGAATGATTACAATCCGTTGAAATTCAGGCTATCCGTGCGGCTGAATTATGACGTTCGAGCACGAC